TGGATTAGAGGGTAAAGAGTAGATAGATAGGCGAGGACAGAAATAGGAGTGATAGTGTAACCGTTTTCGGCAAAATGTTTGTCGGTGGATTGATTTCACTTGTTTCTTTGACGAGTTGTACCTTAGCGCGGAGAATGGCAAAACTCACTGATGCCGACTAAGATGTCAGCGAAACGTTTGAGAATGTACCAAGTCCACTGTCTGGTGCTGGGAATCATGACAACTTCTATGGCAGACGACTTTTGGACTAGGTGCAATCTATTAAGTCACCCTGATAACGAGGTCAGCCCATTTCAATAAATCGAAAGGAGGCTGCGACCACACCAGAGACCACAAAATCTTTGTCTTCATATCTTCAAAAAATAAATAGTTTTGACTAACTTAGGCTGAAATTTAATCTATAAATAGGATACAAAAGTCTGAGTAGGAAAAGCCAAGCAAATCAGCACTTCTAGGTACAACCAAAATTTGATGCCCCACATTTATGAACTTGCATTAGTTTACAAATGATCTAGTTTGAAAATCATTTGCAAATATTGAGTAAATATTGATATGTTTTTTTCCTAAGCGATTAAATAAACAAAGTTCCTGGTAGTATACTCAGATTTTCGGACCCTTCTAAACATATCAACATACATACATGCATACATACACATACACACACACACGCAAACACACATATATATATATATATGATTAAAAAAAGTTTAAAACTTAACATCAAAAAACATCTCGTGTTAATATTTGAATGCAATGGTGTTTTAAGAAAGCTAGAAATAAGGATTCGCAAACTTGCTCAAAAAGATCATAGACGTCTTTGAATGTGCACGTAAGTTGTTTTTCCGGGCCATAGAATGTGCCATATGTGAGGGATAGGATGAAGAAAAGTGATAATTCAAGTGCACCCAACGTCTCCTCGTATTGAATTAGATCAACACGAACAGAGCTAGAGTTAAGAAAGATGGAAATAAAAATAACTCCATATAAAAAACAAGGATGGTTAATGAAAAGCGTTCATCATCACCGAAAGTAAGCATACTAATAGTGATAATAAAAGTGGGCCTAAGGATCGCTAAAATGATTCAAAATGTTAATCTGCAGTATATTAGATTTATATGAAGATAAGAATGAAACGAAACGAAACGAATTGAGACGTTAGAGTAGAAAATACGATAGCAAGATTATTAAACTTATGCTTCAAGGAAATGGAGTCATCAACAGAGTATATACGCCTTAGTAGACATTAATTAAGAAAGGCGCCAAAAATAGTTGTGAAAGCACTTGATTAAAATATTCATATAGCGATATAGCTAGAAATAAATTTCTCCTCTACAGTCATTTATATCATTATGCATTTAAAAATATGAATGTGGACTCAATGGCCCGAGTATAGCATTTTAGAAGAATGATATGAAAAATAAATTAATTAATTAAGGTAAATCACAATTTTGAACGGATGGATAGATAAGATGTAAACTCTTCAATGGAATTGTGAGATCTACTTATTTTATTGTAAGAAATTCAAATCAATCCTTAAATCCTGTTAAAGAAACTATGGGCATTTGAATTCTTAGTTGGATATAGATAAGACATCTTTGACACAAGTCAATGAAGGCTCAAAATGATTCAATAGAATCATATAATGGGTAGGTTTAGATGTAAAGCAAAAGTGGCGTCTTAGCAACTGAAACTTACATCGACTTAAGTGACTTTGGAGCCAAAGCACAGACAAAGGCAGATATATTGGAAGGATCAACAAGCTTGGGCGATAAATTAGTATAGATAGAGGATTCAACGTGAGATGACTGTGATGAGTCGGCATCTGGAGAAACGAAGACATGATGACCAGAGAAACAGACACTACGAATGTCTGCAGCCAACTCAAAGAATGGTAACAAGGCGAGGGAGAAAAGCTGTGAAACAAGGTAAAAAAATTCGCAAAGTCAGTTTAAAAATAGTCAAAAAATAGTCATTTCATCAAGAATTCTAAAAGTAATTTTATTTATATAAAAGAGTAATGTAACTTATAAAAATTTATTTGAAAGATGTTTACTATTCACAAGGACTGCATTTCAATAGTCTTAACCCAAGATTGGAATAGCTACTAAGCCCGTGGGGGTTATGAAAAACAAATCAGTGGCTAACTTATCGGGCTTGAGGGCAAACACATGATAGCATACCGATTAAAAACTTTGCAAAGAGTAATGCAAATTAGGATATGTTTGTTCAGCTATGAAAGTTATAAGTGCCATGTAAAATCAATGGCTTATGGGATAATGAATGTGTACACAGGTCCAGAATTGAAATATTACTGGGGTTGCATAGAAAATCTAAATAAGATAGAGGCTGTAGTACAACATAATTAGTTTTCAAATCAGATTTTATCACAAGCTTAAAAAAGCAAGGTAAATTTTAGTGGCTATAAAAAAATGATATGAAAGCCGAGTTGAATTATCCCGCAGTGATGTGGGTGGTCCCTAAAAAACCAGTGAATTTTATATAGCCGTGCCTTCCAAAAAGTATTATCGCCAAAGGTGAATAGCAGTTTTAACTTCACATGGATTTCATCAGCACTCCTAGCGGAAATCTAACCCGGTCAGTGTAACTCCAATTGTGTATACGTTACTATTACGCCACCCTGCACTTGGTGCCAGTGAGTTACAGGGCAGACGTGACATTCAAAGAGAATATGGCTCTTTCCTATCGCATCTAAAGGCGGAATTGTCAACTTTATTTGCTATTCTAACCGACTATATTACATGTATTCAAATAGAGAAAATTTGAATACTAACAAAACATCTTAAAAAAAGAACTCTATTTCGCTTGACCAGATTTTAACAGAGTATTTATTAAGATATGCGTATGACGATCAAATCAGAATAAGAAAGGGATTTGCAATGGCTTGATTATATTGGAACGTTTAGACATTGTACTCGATACCTCATGGTTCGGATACGGTAAAACGGTCTAGGGCTTTCATCTCTCATATGAGAGATAGATTTAGAACAGGGACACTTTCTTAAGTCAAGGTTGAGCATACAAGCTAATAAAACTAAATTACTGATCTTTACTTGATAAATACACTCATATTTAGTTTAAAAATAGATTTTAATTGATATCACTGCGTACAAGCTAATAAAACTAAATTACTGATCTTTACTTGATAAATACACTCATATTTAGTTTAAAAATAGATTTTAATTGATATCACTGCGTTAAAAATGAAGTAGAATACTGCCAAAAAGTTGCAAGATAAAATTCAGATAAAATAAGATATTGAAGATTATTAATTTCCAAAAAAATGGTAAATTTGCATACAAAAATTGTGAGCCATTAATTCTTCCACAATTATTCTATTACATCCACCAAGTTAACAGCATAGTTCATTTTTCTTGCCATAGGGGTCCTACGGATATGGAGAAGTGAAACTTTGAACATAGTAAAAAAAAGAACACCTAAAAACCTTGATGGACTTACATTAAATAAAATTGAATACCTAATATCGTAAAAAATATATAGCTAGGAGAAAATAACCAAACATTAAGGGACTATAAGGAATAAAATACCTCGAAAAAAGATAAAAATTAAAAAAAA